GGTACGGTTGAGTACATCTAACCCCCATTCAACTCTTCGTAGGTGGGCGCCTTTGCGACACTGGGGTAATGTTGTTGTTAGCTATTAAATAGCTAATTATTGTACTTAGTTATAACAATGATAAGTATTAGTTGTACAAAAAAAAATTGAGAACACTTTTATTTGAATAATACAATGTTGTTGTACTTTTATTTGAATTATCTTATAGGTTATGCACTTATCCTTGACCTAGTTTTAAAAAATTAACTAAACTTTAATATCTAAAAATACAAATAAAAATGAAATTGAAACCGGAAAACCAAATCGGATTGGAACCAGAACTGCCGGTTTTAAAACTGGTACTTCGGGTTCCCGGTTTTGGTTCTCCGAAATTTGGAATCGGGAACCAACGGTTTAGTTCTAGTTCATGTTCTGATTTTGTTCCGAACCTGGGACACTCCTACCACAGAAGATGTCACGGGCCTGATCACGGCAGGAAATATAATGGGTTCTGTCATGTTTTTCTCGGAAGTGGGATGCATTGAAGATGAATAAATCGTCCCTCAATAGATCTGAATATACCTTTTTATATTCCAGACTTTCCAGCAGCTTAACTTTTCATTTTCCTTTATGACTTTCAGTTTTCTTATTTACTTCCCTATATATATGGGAGTCATGATGTATGATCTGAAATGAGTAATACAAAAAGCTTCTCTTCCTAAATCAACATGGTATCATAGACCTGGGTATGGTCTGAAATTCCTTCTGCACGTGGAGGGGACTCTGAGCATATTTTCTGGTGAATCAATCTTCAAGGTGTTCGTCCCGCTCCAGTAGTGAATAATTTCATGAAATTTTAATTTTTTCATCGTGGTTGTAACAAGCAGTAGTGAAGAAACTCTTGGTCCCGTTTACGTCCCAAATCTGTCGGGATACCCTACTGTTACCAATAATAAACTTATTGGATCACAAAATTATCAAGATTGGGCATGTGTTGTGGAACTGTGGTTCATGGGACAAGGAGTGGATGACCATTTGATCAAAGAAGCTGATTCAATTGAGTATCAAAGAGAAGTCTGGAAACACGTTGATGCCCAACTTTGCAGCATCTTATGGCAGTCTCTCTCACCAGAAATCGTTCTAATGTTCCACCCTTTCAAGACGTGCTGGAAGCAAGCCAAGTCTCTCTATACAAATGACATAGCTCGCTTTATTCAGTTGTTGATGAAATTTTAAAAATAACAAAATTTGGGATGTCAATGGAAACTTTCTTAGGGAAAGTTCAAGGCTTAATGACAGAATTTAATACGCTTATGCCAATGGAAGAATCCATTGAAAGACAGCAAGCTCAAAGGGAAAAATTCTGGGTAGTCTTGACACTCTCCAAACTAGGAGCAGGTTTTGAAGAGATTCTACGTCAGATCTTGAGCGAGAAAAATGTTCTGAACATTACTGAAGTTTTTACTCGGCTACTTCGAGGGACCTCAGTCACAGAAGACAACAATGCTAATAACTCTGCTTTTGTTTCTCACACTCAGGGTGGTCGAGGTAGAGGAAGAGACAATCTTCACAAAAGAGGGGGAGGCCGTGGCAGAGGTATGCAATGTTTTGTGATTATTGCAACAAGCCAGGACACACACGTGATCAATGTTGGAACCTACATGGGAAACCAAGCACGGTCAATGTAGCTGAAGTCAATAATGAAGCTAAATGTTCCCATGTTCTCTCACAGTCTGAATATGAACAATTCCAGCAGTTAAAGGCTGCTCGAACCTCAATAACACCTGACAAAACTCATGTTTCTTTAGCCTCTCAGTCCAATCCTGTTTGGATTTTTCACTTAGGTGCTACCGATCACATTTCTGGTAATCCTTCACTTTTTACATGCTTGACATTTTCCAAATCTCTTCCATCTGTTACCTTTGGTGATGCGTCAATAGGTAAAGCTATAGGAATTGGAAATGCCTCTCCACTCCCTTCTCTCATTATCCTCTGTGTTGTAATTTCCTAATTGCCCCCTTCAACTTGATCTCTGTCCATAAACTCACTTCACATCTTAATTGTAAAATTATATTTTCCACTAAATCTGTGACTGTGAAGGACCGACAATTGAGGAAGACAATTGGCACAGGATATGAATCACAAGGGTTATATCATCTAGCCAACACCAATATTGTTTGCACTACCACCACTACCACACCATTGCTTCTTCATAGTCGATTTGGTCATCCTAGCCTAAATAAGCTTAGTCAACTTGTTCCTATAATGTCTAATGTTTCATCAGTCGAGTGTGAGTCGTGTCAGTTAGGAAAGCAATCCAAAGCTTTTTACAAAAATAGGATAAATAAAGCTTTTCTCTAATTTATACTGACGTATGGGGACCGAGTCGAGTTAAGTCTATCTTTGGATTTCAGTACTTTGTTACATTTATTGATGACTTTTCTCGTTGTACTTGGATCTATTTAATGAAAGATCGGTCTGAACTTTTCAGTATATCTCAAAAATTTGTCAATGAAATAAAAACTGAATTCGGGGTGGTGATAAAAACCATTCGTAGTGACGATGCCGAGGAGTATTTTTCCGAATCCTTCTCTAAATTTTACGACAGTCATGGGGTCCTTCATGAATCTTCTTGTGGAGACACTCCTCAACAAAATGGAGTGGCTGAACGGAAGAATCGACACCTTGTGGAAACTGCCCGAACAATGCTTATTCATTACAAGGTACCTAAATGCCTTTGGAGAGAAGCCAATCTTCACTCTTGTTATCTCATAAACTGCATGTCTTCTGATATACTACAAGGAAAGACTCCTTACAATGTTTTGTTCCCTGATGAACCTTTGCACATATTACCTTTAAAGGTATTTGGGTGCACTTGATTTGTTCGTGATATCACTCCGGGAAGGGATAAACTCTCTCCAAAAGCTATCAAGTGTATCACTCCGGGAAGGGATAAACTCTCTCCAAAAGCTATCAAGTGTGTGTTCTTGGGATACTCTCGTCTTCAAAAGGGATTTCGATGTTACTGTCCTAGGTCAAAGCGTATATATACATCTTTTGAAGTCACTTTCTTTGAGTCTACTCCATATTTCTCTCATTATTCTTCCCTTGACGTATCAAACTTTACTGATGAGTCTACAGAAATGGTCCCTATGCGGCCGGCCTTTCAAAGAACATGAACCCGTTCTGCGGGACTTTCCTGAACCTGAACCTACATCCCTGGCCATACCTGAAAAAGGAACTCCCAGTGACATTCCAGAGAACCATATTATTGAGTTCCCTTATACCTATCACCGTCGACATCGTTCGAGTAAGCCTTACCATCATCCAACAGAAAAAGAAGATAGTAATCCAAGTGATTTATGTGCGGAGCCATCGTCGCCTCAAGAGTCGGGCCAAGAGATAACTAATGATCTTCCTATTGCCAGCAAAGTTGGTAAAAGATCCACTCGAAATCCTTATCATATCTATAACTTCCTCTCATACAACCATTTGTCACCATCATGTCTCTCTTCTGTTTTTGTTCCTGTTCCTAAAAGTGTCAAGGAAGCATTAAGTCATCCAGGTTGGAAAGAGGCCATGCTTGATGAAATGGAAGCCCTTCACTCGTCAGGGACATGGGAACTTGTGCCTCTACCACCAAATAAACTTGTGGTCGGCTGCAGATGGTTATACACAGTCAAGGTTGGTCATAATGGCATGATAGACCGGCTAAAAGCCAGGCTTGTAGCCAAAGGATACACACAAGTGTTCGGAATCGACTATACTATACATTCTCCCCTATTGCAAAAATAGCATCAGTTCGCACTTTACTGGCTATTTCAGCAATACGACAGTGGCCGTTACATCAATTGGATATAAAAAATGCATTCCTGCATGGAAATCTAACGGAGGAGGTCCTCCGGGATTCATAGCTTCTGGGGGAGCTGATCTAGTTTGACGCCTCAAACGCTCATTGTTTGGGTTGAAGCAGTCCCCACGTGCTTGGTTTGGACGGTTCAATGAACTAGTACAAAAATTTAACATGATTCAAAGTAAAGTTGACCATTATATATTTTACAGAATCCAAAAAGGTCTTAATATCTATCTTGTGGTTTACGTGGATGATATTGTGATCACGGGTGATGACGTAGAGGGAATAAAACTTCTTAAGAAGCATTTATTTCAGCATTTTGAAACAAAAGATCTTGGCAAATTGAGATACTTTCTAGGTTTTGAAGTTGCACACTCAAAACAAGGTGTGAACTGTACATATCACAAGTATATTCCAGACTTTCCAGCAGCTTAACTTTTCAATTTCCTTTATGACTTTCAGTTTTCTTTTGTCCTTTAATGTATCATTTACTTCCCTATATATATATGGGAGTCATGAGGTATGATCTGAAATGAGTAATACAAAAAGCTTCTCTTCCTAAATCAAAAGAGATAACAACGGAGTTCATTTGATGAAGAGGCCGAAGACATTGGGTTGTCAAACCCGTTAGACGCTACGGAAAGACTGGTTAGAGCTCAAAACTGGTTCTGATAGCATAAAAGATTTTAAATATACACTATTATACAATTTATACAAAGAATTTCTAATCTATTCAAGGTAAGATTATAAATGGAATATATTACAATAAATGCTGAAGATCAGATTTGACTCCATATGAAATATATTATAATTAATTTTGTAGATTAAGTTGATTCAGACTTCTACGATAGTTATATAAGGGTCTTCAATACTTATTTAATGCGCAACCTTTGAAGAATTAATTCTCCTATGTCTTGACAAGGTCGAGCACCAACTAATTCTATCTTAGGCATATTTTATTTTCTCTTTCTGATGCCAACCACGTCCATAATATATTGGAGGTAATAATAATAACACTGAGTAATGACAATAGACCTATTAAAAAGTAAGACGCATAAGACCTTTCCATTCTATAAAGTGATACCTCAGGTTAATCAACATTTTATCATCACTTGGGAGTGGGAAGGCCCTGAAAATAACCATTAAGTCTTTAAGTAGAGGCAGATACCATTTTCCATTCTGGATCAATACTCATTGCAACGTTGATGAATTCCTTGTCTAAAAAGGGCACACGAGCCTCAACACCCCATGCAGAAGTTGACTTGTTGGCTCTCAAGCAATCATACAGATGCAGAGCCTTGATCTGTGTCCGGAAAGGAGGGATATGTCATAAGGGCATGAGATTTTCCATATCTGTGGCCAATAAGTTATGTATTTCTAAAAAAGTCCACGTTCAAGAGAACAAGTTTATTTGATGAGTAAAAACACCTTTTGACAAGTTTCCCGGTGAAGCTCCTCCTTGTTTGGTGCCTTGTGAAAATACAGGTAACCGCCAAAGATTTCATCAGAACCTTCTCCAGATAGAACCATTTTCACTCCCAGAGATTTTATTTTACGGGACATGAGAAACATTGGTGTACTGGCTCTGACAGTGGTCACATCATATGTTTCAATATGGTATATAACTTCATCAAGTGCATCTATCCCTTCCTGTTGTGGAAGTAAAAGTCAAAAGTCAAATCAATCTTGGGAAATGAATGCGTGGTTTTTTTAAACAAAAGGAATTATCTAGCACCATCCAGAAAGAGAGAGCGAGAGAGAACCTGCACTGTAAATGTAAACTCATGGTGACAAGTCCCAAGGTAGTCTGCCACTTCTTTAGCAGCTTTTAAATCAGGAGAGTCCTAAGTGTAAAGAAAGTTGTTGAGCAATCTAAAAGTTACTGAAAGAAAATAGAGCCTCACAGCTTTTGCTTCATAATTGATTCATGGAGTAAATGAGGATATGGAATAATATTCACTGAATGGTATATCTATTTCCATCATCTGATTAGAATCAATAGATCTCTATTCCCAGAATCCCTGGATCGACTGTTCCCATGAAGTTGTGAATCAGTTATTCAATTCCAATGACAAATGAGATAGCTATCTCCAATGAGTAATGCTTATTATTGTTTATTGTATACATAAATATAAAATTATAAATAAAAAGTGAATGTGAATTAATACCACTGCTTGGAACACGCGTACGAAAATTATCAAACTGAAGATATTCAATTCCCTTTATAACTCCTGACCTCTAAGGGACTAGTATCCATATTCCCTCAGAAGTATCCTCAGAGCACAAATCAATTCATGAAGACACTATGGAGAAAAATTAATTTATATCATTCTTTTGTATGAGAGATAATACCTTCAAACCAATGCAAAAAGTATGCAACTGTGATCCCCATTGGCGGGCAGCTTCAGTGTTGGCTAAATAGCGGTTAGCCACAGCGGCAACAAGAGATGAATCCAGTCCACCTGACAGAAGTACACCAAAGGGTACATCTGTCATTAGCCTTTTAACCACTGCCTGCATATATTATTTACGAGGCAAAAGACTATGAGTCACACAGTGGTCTGGCATCAAGAGATGATATCATCTTACGAGTAGTTTTAAAGAGCCATATATGAGTTATCTTTATATGACTCCTTTAGGGAGGCATATAGACTATGTTGACAATTTGAAATTAACACCACCCATTTTTTAGTGGATGACCCTATCAAAAACAAGAGTGGCGATGAAAGTAATGTCAACATAGCCTATTAGACTTCATAAAGGAGACATATATGGCTCTTTAAAAAAATTGATCCTTACCTTAAAACAATTACCCCTCCATCCCAAAAAGGGCCAGTTAGACTAATGTACAACTTTTAAACTGTTACAAATCAAGAATGACACATGTTTTAAAATTATTTCGTTTCTTCAACTAAATTTATCATACATAACTTGTTTTTACTATGTTGTAGCCATATCTTGGCAAATTACATGAAAGATTAGCTTTGTACAAGACTTTTTTGGGCCAAAAAATGAGTTGGAAACAGGACTCTTGTTTCAGGGATGGAGAGACTTATAAATGAGTCATGTAACTAGAGTACTAGAACTACACGTGGATGACACATTGACACATAAAGAGGAGAAGCAGATGTGTTGTTATTTGTTACTATAATAAGCTACAGAGAAGGTTTATATGAAACAGAGTGACTAAGGCATAGACAGACATAATCCAGACTATGTGCAAAAAGTATGACACTAGAAGTCAAAATATAAACATAGTTAAAAGAGAATGACCAAAAAACATTTCCTGATGTTCAATGTTTTCACTACTAAAGCACATACTTTGCTGTTTGTATGATATTAGACCATGTGCACATATATATTGTTTTAATATTTTTCTATATACACTTCACATGCATATTGTATCTCTTTTTTGGTTATGTCTAGTAGCTTGATTTTACGAATCGATACTTCTTTCCATACAAAGTTTTGTAATCTTAAAAAAAATTGTATATTACTCATACGCATGTGAATAGAAGGCAAGCAAAAACGCATTCTATACTCACGTGTGTTTACTAATTCATCATGATATTAGAGCGTGGTCTTTAACCAGTTACGCTTCTGCGCAAATACGAAAAGAAGAACACCTCTCTGTAACGAACAAAGATCAATGACGACCTCCTGAGTTGTCAGTTCCCTTAGCTTCGGAAACGTGGAGCAGAAATTGAACAAGATAGTGTAGCCAACTACTGATGCCAACACTTCAGCGGCGACCATTGTGCCAAGATATGAACATGAACGCCAGAAGATCAACGGCCCATCTTCGCCTTATTTCTTGCACAACTCGGATTATCCCAGACTTAATATTTGTGGTGTCACTCTCAAAGGAGAATCAAACTACCGAGATAAGGGGATAGCCATTAAAAAATGTGTTCCGAGCAAAACAAAAACTTGGTTTCTAGGACGGTACAATCTCATGTCCAACTATCAGAGATGATGACATCAAGGATTGGATGAGTGTGAACTCAATGCTCATTGGTTAGGTTATGTCATCCATTGAGCTGACTTTGAGAACGAATATCACCTACATGGATGACGTACACAATTTGTGGGAGGATTTGACACTCCAGTTCAGAGGGGTGACCCAATGCGGGTCTATGAATTGAAAGAGGTGATCCAGACCTCTCGGCGAAATGGGCAGTTGTAACAACATATTTCGGACATCCAAAGTCATTGTGGGACGGCTACGAAAGTTATCGAAATATGCCACAACGCGTGTGCGGGGCCAGTGTACATGTAGTCTAGAAAACAGTATTTCAAACAAGTTGATGAGTTGCTGACGTTGTCTAAAATCTACCAAATGGTGGTGCAAGAGGATCACCATAAAAACATGATCCGAGGAAGAAAAGTACGAGGGGGGGCAGTTCATCCCATTAGGGCAGTGAAGAAAAGATTACGAGCACCTTCTGTCGGACGGTAATACCGTTGACAACTGTTTTAAATGCAGCAGAAAGTAACCAGATTTTGGTAATACGGTAACCACGGACGGGGATGTGGGTGGTCCTCACCATGTCACGGATGGGAACAACCACAAGCCCATGCGATGCTGGCTACACATGAAGGAGCCGTGGATGAAGAGGGAGCGGCTGGAATTGCTGTTGCGGCCAGTTCAGCCTGATTACGAAGAAGCAGTGGACAAGCTTTATTAAATGGGTAAACAACTATAAGGTGTCTACCTCGAGTGAAATTGAATGGTAGATAAATTTTGGTGCCTTCTACCATATGACAAGAAATTAACATGCGTTAGAAAACAAAAGAAAATTTTTAACAATCTCAGTGACGATACTTAATGGGGACATTACATTTGTGACACATAAGGGGCATATTCGGTTCAATTCTTCCCTAACATTGACAAATGTGTTTCTTGTCTTAGACTCTCATGCGATCTTGCGTCTATTGCTAGATTAGTTGATAATGGAAATTGTGATGTATACTTTACTAATAAGCTATTTGTGATACAGGATCTACCACTGAGAACGGTAATTGGAGTGAGCAGCCAGCAAGAGGGTGTATTACTTTCGAAAGGAAGGATCTTGAATTGGTTTGTTCTATTGCGGTAGCAGACAGTTCCTATTTGTGGCACTGACCGTTGAGACATCCGTCTAACAAAGTGATATGTTGTATTTCTTGTTTACATGGCTCTATTTCAAATAATTCTTTATATAAACCTTGTGCTGCTTGTGTGAGGGCTAAACAAACACGAGACATTTTTCAATTGAATAATAGTGTTGTTGACAATGAAATGATTCATGTGATGAATGGTGACCATATTGGTCTCCTGTAATGTGAGGCTCTTGTTACTTTTATACTATAGTGGATTATTTCTCTCAGGCAGTATGGGTTCACTTGCTACATGAGGAAACTAAAGTTCAGCAGCTTTTAAAACATTTTTGCATTTGATCAAGAGGTAGTTTGATAAGGAGGTTAAAATAGTTCGCATTGATAATGGAACCGAGTTCATTTGCCCTAAAAATTATTTTCTGGAAAATAGAATTCTTTTCAGACTACTTGTGTAGACACACCGCAACAGAACGAGCACTTGGAGAGAAAACAAAAACATATCCTTGATATGGCTCATGCACTACGACTTCATGCTATTCTACCTATCTAATTTTTGGGAGAGTGTGTCTTAGCTGCATGTTATCTAATCAACTGAATTCCTTCCCTTCTTACTAAGGGCAAGAGTCCGTATAAACTTTTGTTTGGTAAGGAAGCAGCCTATAATTTTCTTCGAGTATCCGAGTGTTTGTGTTACACGCACTCTGTTAATCACTCTAATGATAAATTTTCTACATGAAATCATAGATGTGTGTTCCTCGGTTGTGCTTATTCCCAAAAAGATCGAAGGTGTATGATCTTGATACCAATCGTCACTTTGTGTCGTCGGATGTACATTTTGTTGCATCCATATTTCTCTATATGGCGATGGCACATACATAAGAGTCCACTACCTCATCACCCATACAAATGCATATGTCACCCATGACGCCTAGTTTCAATTGGGCCGCCTCCACACCAAGCTCTCCTCTTACGGGTCCACATCATTCCCCAACTACCTCACATGTGGCCCCTTCTAATCGCATGCAACCAATAGCTACCAAAGAATAAGATTGTGTGTTGAAAGAGAATATAAAATGAACTAATATTGTATAAGGGAGAATTTTTTGTGTATTTCATTGAAGGGTTAAGTCTATATAAATATACTTTACAAAGATAGAATATTCATGTAAGATTCTATACTCTAATAATATATTAGAGTATATTCCTAGCATATTCTAAAGTGTATTCTAATATCTTTCACACTCCCCCTTGAGTTGGAGCATAGATATTTATCATGTCCAACTTGTTACATAATAACCAACTTGAATTTCATTTACTGCTTTAGTGAACAAATCTCCAAGTTGTTCTCCAGTCTTCGGTCTTCACATATCATGTAGAAATCAATCTTTTCCGTATCTTCTCTCGAATCAAATGACAAGCGACCTCAATATGTTGTGTTCTCTCATGAAACACTGGGTTGTTGTCAATATGTATAGCAGCTTGGTTATCACACCACAGTTTAGCAGGCATTGGTGTCTTCAATCCGATTTCACTCAATAAAAGGTTTATCCAGATAACCTCACATGTCGATTGTGTCATAGCACGACATTCTGATTCAGCACTAGAACGAGAAACCACATTCTGCTTCATACTTTTCTGGGAGACGAGATTACCACCAACAAAGACGAGATTAATCACAATATCATCGACATACACCACAAGCAATGTGATACCTGCTTTCATTCGTTTGTAAAAAAACAAAGTGATCTACTTGACCAAGGTGCATCGAGGCGTGGTCCAAAAGCATCCTGGCACGTTCCAGGAGTCACGCCAGATGAGTAATTTGAGACTTTCAAGGCCTATCCCAAATGCCCAATAATTAAGATTTGGAAAGTATAATTAAGATTGAAATTCATAAATTAATTATATTTCAGGTTTTTTCGATTTTAGAAACCCAGCCTTTTAGAGGGTAGTTTAATTAAAATATAGACGAGAGGTGTTCTAAGACTTCTTACTTTGTGAGCAACATCATCAAATATCACAAACTTTTCGAGCACAAGGTTTCTTCAAGGTAGTCAACAACTAGTTCTCTTTCTTTTCATCTCAAGCTCGCAGCAGGTAGATTATCTTCTACTGTCACAACTCGCAAGGTGCAGCTTTTCCTTTAAGTACCGTTCCTTCTCAATTTACTGCTTTAGTTTCATTCACCACTCCGTGATCATTTTCACTTAAATGATAAATTACAATGGCACTTGGCATTTTCACTATTAATTTTGAGAACTTAATAGTTAAATTTTTTTATTGCGTATTTGAGGCGAATATTTTTGTTCTTGTTTTGAATTAATAAACCCTCTCTTGAATTATTAATTGTAGGTATTAATTCTATGCAATATATGATTTAATTTGTAAAACATAGCATATTAGAAATTAAATGTATTTAAACATGGCAAATATATATGTATGTATGTATTTAAATATTACATATGGTGCGACTTTTCGCATGAGCGAGCACCTAGTTGCCTAGGCAATAAGGCAGTTGGCTAGCGTCGTGCCTTACTGCCGTGACAACCATGATGTCTACACTCTACACATAAAAAGGAATTATAAAAAGAACAGTACATTGAAAAGCGGCAACTCTAGAAATTCTAGAGCAACCATACCTTCTCAAAAGGAATTATAAAAAGAACAGTACATTGAAAAGCGGCAACTCTAGAAATTCTAGAGCAACCATACCTTCTCAAAAACCTTGCGTAAGAGGAGAGAATCATATGGAGTAGAAGGAATGTGCTCCAGATACCATTGCGGGTTGTACCATCTTCTAATACCTCCTGTTTGCATATAATATACGACGTATTGAGACATTTCACTTTACGGAAATATTTTAAGGACTTTTAAATAATAAAGAAATCTTAAATAACGAGAAGAATAAAAGATGGTCTTAATGTCTCATGAATGTTGTTTTGGCATAAAATTTGGCAAAACAAAAATAAAAATCTTGTCAAGTGAACTAAGAGATTAAAATTTAAAAACAGGGGAGAAGTGTTTTTTATTGAAAATCGTGTAGTCATCTACAATGGAATTTTCAATCGTGTAGCAATATTGAAACATTTGGCAAGTAAAACAAGACTTAACAATTGAATTGATAGTCTTGCTAAACCAGTATCCATGTCACATTAAACTGGAGTAATTCAGTTTAGTCCTCCACTTATCCGTTCAACATGAGCATACCACTTTTGCTTGAATATATATGTCCAGGAAGAAAACTTGTGAATCTCTCACAATCATCGCATAAGGCTTTCATTTCTGAAGCAAACCATATAGAACCTGAAGAGAAGAAAACAAGTGACAGGATTAATGCACTACTAAATATACATGACTTTTCTAAATGCAACAACAAATTGGTATCTCACTAAGCCTTTTTTGGTTAAGGTAAAATGGGAGACCGAAGAAATAGAGGCGAAAGAAATAGGAGAGAAATTTTGTTGTTCAGTATGAAGAGAAATGAGTAGGAGAGATACGAAAATGGTGGGACCCACTTTCTTTTCATTTCTTCTATCTTATGGAGAGAAATATGCCAGAAATGAATCTCCTCCTCCACTCTCCCCTCCCAAACAACAAATAAGGTCTACCCTATTTATCTCTTTTCCACACATTTCTCTCTGTATTTCTTCACTAAACCAAACAAAGACTAACTGTCTAAGCTTTGAAAAGATGGAACTCTGATCAGTTTACCATCGAGTCCCCAGCCCATATAAAGAGGTGTAATGCCAATAGCATCCCGAGCAGCAATGAAACATTTGTTGCGAGTGTCAAGAAGCACAAAAGAGAACATTCCATCCAACATATCAACAAAATCTTCTCCATATTCTTCATACTGAATTTAAAAGATGGAATATTCAAAAAACATAAGACAGATGAACAGTAGATATTTTGGATTGTGACCTATTTTCAAGGAGTAAACACTTTTTAGAGGAAGAAATACGTTAACTTCATAAACAAACATTTGGAGGAAAGTGGAAATGATTTTTTAACTGTAAAAAGCACTTCTAAATTTTACTTCAGAAACTAGGGGATTTGCTTGTGCTTTTTTAGTGACGTAGTTTAGTGCTTAAATAAAAAAGCACTTGTAATAAAAGAAACTATGCCATAAGTTATCCCAAAAAGGCTCTAAGTAAACTAGAACGTATATATTTTCACATCTAACAAATACAAGTATTAGTTTTACTATTTGTGCAACTTTGCACATTATAAGCCTTGCTCAAATAAAATTTAACTTATATATATATATATATAAACTATGTAGCACGAAAACTCTCAGGAAGGGTACGTTTCCGTTTCGAAAACTCTACAGAAACTCTTCGGAAACTCTCTAAACAGTTGTTTTTCTATTAAAAGATGGCGTTTTCGGTTTCCATTCAACATAGTATACAACATCTCTCTAAAATAATGTGTTATCATCGATTTGCATTAGAGTAGTGGGCATGTAGCATTACAGTCTCTTTGTGAATATTTTTGAAGCAAACAACGTACTTTTGATTATTATGTTAGTGGTAAAGTGGGCAATTAATGTAGCATATCAAGTGCAATGTTGCAGATGATAAAAAAAACTAAACAAATACAATCACAACTAACAAGCATTCATGTTTAATTTATTTATAAATCATGAAGAAAAGTATGTCAAGTGCTTACAAGATGGGCAATGACTTCACAATCACTGCCAGTATGAAATTGATGAGACTTCAGCTTTTCCCTCAGTTCTTTGTGGTTATATATTTCACCATTGACCTAAAATCCAACAAGAATGTTGAGCAAGCTTGAAAACACATTCATAGAAGGACAAGAATTATAAGTGGCAGTTCATGAGGTTTATTAGAAAGAAGAAGAAAAAACCGTTGGAATAGGGGGGGCTTGTCAGTAATCAAATAAACAATAATAAAAGCAAATTATCTCAAACAGGGAATTATAAAGACAAATGTTCCAACTTCCAAGCATTCCTCTCAATCTCAAGAGAAAATGGAAACATATTCAGCAACTTGTAGATAATTACACGTCAAGTTTACACTCAAAAGCAACAACCAGCAACAACAAACTGGTAAGAAAATAGTGAAATAAACGTAAATTATGCACCAGACATTCAACAGTTAAAATAATCTTGCATACATAGTAAATGGGAAGTTACACCAACCGTGACAACAATGCTTTTGTCTTCATTGTACAATGGCTGATCCCCGGAGGTAGGATCAACTATTGCTAGTCGTTGATGCGCAAGATAAGAATCACCATGACAATGCAATCCACTCCAATCCGGTCCTCTGTGACGCAACCTACAATTACAGAACGCCAAATTACATACAAGTTGGGAATTTTACAATATCACACAATCCCTAGAATGATATGACTTTCGGATGAAAAGTGCAGACTACAGTTTATATGTCCACTCTGTGATTCATTTGATCAAATACAAAATGACAATCAAATACACAGATATCATTGCTACGTTCTGCTAGAATTTGGCTACTATATTCGTATCTATGTACTTGCGACTAAGATTATCTCTAAACCAAGCACATGTTTTACTTTGGGCCAGTTTGGACAAGGTTATTTGACTAAAAAGACTGAATAACAACAGCAACATTACCCCAATGCCGCCAAGGCTCCCCCGCCTATGGTGGGGTAAGGGGGTTGGATGTATGCAGTCTTATCCTTGTACCAAATCACAGAGAGAAACAGACTGTTTCTGATGACCCATGATGACAATTGCGTCGAAAAATTGCATGGACTAATTGTTGCTTCATAACAAAGAAGCGGTGACAATTTAGTGTGTTGGTCCAAAATAGGACGCTCGTAGGCTTTTAGGAAAGCTACGTACGACACTCAAGCAGGAATCAAGAAAATAGAATTCGCCTCCCCTAATCTGAATTACAACCCGCCTTTTGTAGGCGTATACAAATCGTAACCGTTACCGATAATAATGACTGATTAATTACAACATTAATACGGAATTAAATACATAATTAATAGCGCATTAATTGTTCGGCCGTTACTCTTCCGGGCTAGGAGGTCGGCCGGACTAGCAGGCTCCCCGCCGGGCTGGCAGGCTCCGGGTTATGGATTTGGATCCATGGGTCCAAGTTCGGGGCTTGGGCTGATTAGGCTCCGGGCCTAGTCCCATTACTCCATCATAGTGAGTCATTTTGATTTATTCCATGATATTCCCAAGCCAAAAAATAGTGAGTCTTTAGATAAAATGGCTGAATATACTAAAAAAATTAAGGGCAAAGCGTTTGGTAGAACTGATGTCCACCAAATTAGCAAGTCAAAGATTACCTGTATTCTTATTCTGATAATAGCAATATATGAAGATAAATGCTATTATGCTACCAAATACACCACTTACAAAAACTTTAAACATTTACTAGAAATGACATATTTGCAATACTAAAATCGTGAAGGATGGCTGTTAATGTGTAAAGGGTCGGTATTTATTGCATTTTCCAATTTGGAAGTATAAAATCTGGCCCAAAAAAACCATATCAAATAATGGTGTACATCAAACTTCATTTATTGGTAATGAAATGTTACTCCATTGGTAACTAATGTATTGACCTAAAAGGAAACAATGATAGAGCTTTGCCAAGTATATACCGTACACGCGACAGCCACACATACCCAAATAACTAAACATGATTTGTCAATCTCACATGAAAGAAGTGTAAAACAGGAAACCAGACATTAGCGAAAAGAATATATCTTTACCGATGAAAGATAATTTAACAGGAAACAACAATGTTTCAGTCTAAAGTAAAGCATTAAAGCACGTAGGCATTGAAAGAAAATGGCATCTATAGCTCCATTACACCTTCTAGAAAGCTCGATGATTCTGGACCGCTTAGCCTGAGAGTTGTCAGTGCAACCGAACACCGCAAGAATCCCACACATGATGACGCCTGTCTCTCTCCCTCTGGATTAAAAGACGCCGTGCGTTGTATATGCTGTCCGTGAGGAATTTAGAGGATGACGGGTGAGCGAAGGTATGACGGGTGAACGTGTGGCCCGCCTTTCCGCTTATTTCAAAAGATTCCGAGTGCATCTCATTTTTAGGGTTTAATAATAAGTGCTGAGGATTCGTGGTGGTATGCCCGGGTAGTGTTTATGGGAAGGGTATATGGCATAGCCGGGCTGTACGGTGTTAGTCGTACGATCCATGTCAAACTTGTAATTTTGTTGAAAATCACAGATTCTCTTTAAATGATCATTGAATCAATTTTGATTAGCACCGAGTCTCTTCTTTTGAATATTATTGATGTATTATTGGCGTTGTACGATTAGAGTTCTGTTCACGTGAATTATAGTTTCATTATTTAAAAATTTTGATCTTGAATTAGATCCTCACTCAATGTGTAAGATTAATTTTGTATGTTTAGAATCCTATTACGTGTATTAGAGTCTCATTATTTAAAGAATTTGATGTTGTACAATTATTTTAGAAACTGAAATGATATTGTATTTATTCTGAGGATTACCCTATTTATAGAAGTTGCTCTATTCGTCTGATATGAATATTTAAGATCTGAAATTTTAATACCTAGTCTAATCTAGTCTTATTTTTTCCCTTAGTTTTTTCTGATATGGTCTGATCTTGTATGATCCTGCGGTATGAATCTTTCTATGATATGAGTTTTTCTGGTTTTGATCCGATTTGAATCATTCCGATCTGATATAAATATTTTTATGTGATTGACTGTTTATTAGTTTAAATATGATTATCATTGTCATTATTATAAATCATATTTATAATTATAATTATCATTATACCAATAAGTATGAATATCATCACAATTACAATAATTATTGTAACTATAATTACAATATCATTTTACTATCATTATATTTATCCTTATTTTTATTATTACAATTATCATCATAATACGCGTTATGAATACCATTACACTGTATAGTACTACTATTACAATTAAATTATAGATATCAACAACCTGCACTTTTATGATAATGGTCACTTATAAGAACTGATAACAATAAAAATACTTTAATAATTTTATAGTTAAACAATAATATTATCATTGATAATAACCATAGTAATAATAATATATGATGTTTTATGAATAGCAATAACATACAAATAATGATTATAATATAACAATGTGGGGTTATTCCCTTAATATTACTAAATTGGACTGAATTTCCAAAAATGTGAGTACTTTTAAAAATTGACAAAAAAGTGATTAACAAGGTCACATATTTGGGATTAGAAAACATGATGTCACTACAAAAAAATTATGTCACTGTGTTCGTTTTTCTTGTCACCGAGAGTTGTCAAAGTCAAAATTTTCACGCCAATTACACCACCACCACCGCCGCCGCCACAGTGACATCGTCATAGTGCCACCGCCACAGTGACGCCGCCGCAAACCACATTGACACACTACAGTGACAAATACACAGTGACATCCACAACTTCTTCCCACCGGTGACCGTCGCCGCCTGAAAACCACCACTGGCTATAGTGACACATCCGCAGTGACATCTCCTCCGTCGGTGTCACTTCCGCCGTTGGTGTCACTATGGTTGCCGGAAACGTAAGTTTCAACCAAATTTGGCTGCCACCCATCGGCACCGCCACTGCCGCCTCCCCAACCACCACACCCGCACTCAGCCCCCGCACACCATCCCCTTCCCCAGCCTACCAGCCCCCTCCCCAACCCTTAGCCCCTCCACAGTTGCTGCCAAACACCCCACCCCACCCTATGACAGCCGCCCCACCACCGCACCACTGCTAGCTATCTCCACACGTATATGTAGGGCATGTCAGTTTGTAAGTTGTAACACCCCTTTAAAATCTAGACATTAATCCATTAACAATATAATACTCCCTCCGTTCGTAAATAAACTTCCAACTTTCCTTTTTCGTCCGTTCCGATTAAAACTTCCACTTTCCCTTTTTGGTAAAGAATTTGTGGTTCACAACATTTCTTACACATTTCTTTCTCCTCTGCACAACTCTCCACCACACAATATCCACTATCTTAAACTTTGTGACAAACCCATTTGGAAGTTAAAATGGGAACGGAGGTAGTAATTGTTCGTAGAATTGAAGACCAGTAAGGCAAGAAGTTGGTGTTGAATTACAGTTGACAGAAGAAAGGTAATTCTAATGTCGTGAATATCATTGATGCAAGAGTTTAACTAGCCTAAATTACTGAATATATGGCCTATTGACTTAGTATCCATCGCACACCTGGGTGCGTCGTCTTCACCGTCAAGAACAGATCCAGCCACCGCGAACCCTTGCCTTCAAGAACAGATCCAACCACCACCATGCAGAATCCGAACAGGAGTCAACGATCGATGAAGGAGAAGAAGACAATAGGAGGAGAAACTAGAGCGACGAACCTGGTTGATGGAGATGGAGGGCCAGGGACGGATCTGGTCGATGGCGATGGTGGCAACTATCGAGTGGCAACGCGACAATGATGTCTTGGAGACAGTGGCGAGTGGCGTCGCGGCGGCGATGGTCTGGAGATGGTGGCGACGCTATGAACACCTGTGGCCGATGTAGGAACGGTGGAGAAGGAATGACGCAGGAGGAGAAGGGCGAGGGATGAGTCACTTTTTTGTCAATTTCTAAAATGGTTATATTTTTGTCTATTGAAACCTTATAGATAATATTCTTGCCATTTTTCATAACAACATTCATAATTAATTTTGTTGGGTTAATAAGCCCGGTAGCCGGTCAACCCATTGTTCTCTATACATGGGGAGTTGGAGACCATCAAGGCCCATCTTGGGTGCGGTTCAGCGGAGGACTTGGAAGACGCTCGTCGGGTGGAGCTCGAGGAAGACGACGCTTGTCCTATGAGCCATGGGCCCAACAAGGGTCAAATAATATTGTGGGATCGTCGATTGTAGTACACACCGGTTGTACGGATCCTCTTCCTTGCAGGATTCTAGGCCCAATCTGGCCATAATCCACCAGGATGCCGTCAAGACGCTCGGCCTCAGCGGCCTTTGACCAACGGGTGCCATATAACATTCTAGGGCCCTCGGCCAGAGAGCTGGCATGAGCCGCACAGAGCCCAGCCCTTATACCTCCACATCCAGGAGCTCATATCAAGGGACGCTCATCCATGGCCCATGGCAGGAACCAAGATATTGGCGGAAAGTGCATTCAATGCAATGGATTTGGTGGTTGGGAAGCTAGCTTCACATCAGCAACATCACCCACTCCTTGGTAGTATAAATAGTACCATTTATTTCATTGTAAGGGGTTGACAACTTATTGTCCTTAGCAATAGCAATTATCTCAGCTCTTAGTATTGAGATAAACGAATGGCCTTGAGGCTAGTACTTGAAGTGTGTTGTATATGACCCTTATTATCATTTAACAAGATATAGTCCACTCGATACTTTTCGTTTGACCCATCTTTACCTGCTTTCATATCAATCCACTAAACTCACCGCTCGAAATCTAAGGGAAACGTGTTGGGTATTTGGGTTGAAGGAATAAACCTCAACACCAGCGCAGTCTGTGGGAAACTAATCAAAAAGTCTTTCCAAAAAACAAGCTCTCACCAAAAAGCAGACCTTACGAACCTTACAAGAAAGCGAGATGGCAAGAAACAATTATGGACACATCCACGACATTTCTGAACGGTTGGCTACCAGCAGGAGGACTCGCACCCAAACATCGGGTGGCCAGTCCAGTAGCCTGTGGAGCCGCAGAGATTTTGGGGAGGTCACCAACCTAGTTCCCCTGGAAGTCAGAATAGACCCTCGCGCCATGTGGGGACTGGCGGATACCATGCGACGCATGGCGGACGCACAGGACACAGAACGCATATACTCGGCAGAGACCGAACGTACATCGCTTTCCCCCATCCGCTCCATGCAATCGCTCAGTGAACAAACATGCGAGACTTTGGGGGTTCACACATCAGTCTACACTCGGATCAGCGGCACACCCCACTCCCAAGATATGGGAGGACATGAAGAGACCAGGCCCTTCAGAGGAGGACAACACTGTCTGCTCGAAATCGCACCTCGGTGATGCCACGCAACGACCACCGGCATAGGGAGCCAACTCTCGTGGTAAGTAATGTGGGACCACGGTTCCAGTATGCGGAGGGGCAAAGTGCCCGTTTCATTCAAAGGCAGCACGACACGGCTGTTGTATGCACAAAGGATGTTCTGGCGGTGGTGAACCCTGTGGCCCCAGCCACCGACGTGTGGGACAAAATGCTCGCTAGCCTTCAGAGATTGATCGACGAGCTGAACCGCCGGACGGAGAATAATCCGGTGCAGCCCAGAATCACGCTCACCTCCCCATTTTCTGCTAGGATCATGGCGGCACAGATCCCTCATGACTGCAGACCACCAAGTGCACTGCTCTACAATTGTGTCGTAGATCCGAAGGCCCACCTCCTTTCCTTCTAGGGTGGGCTCTCCATATTGGGAGCATCTGACGAGATCATCTGCAGACTCTTCTTTAGCAACCTCTGAGGGCCAGCACAGGAGTGGTTCGGGCAGCTAAGTCCCAAGACCATAGACAGTTTCGATCAACTATCGAGGCAATTCATGGCGCATTTTGCATCCAGCTCCACCACAAAGAAGCATTTTAGATCGCTGACGAGCGTCCGCCATGATAACGGGGAGTCCCTCTCCACTTTCCTTGTCTGGGTGGAGGGATGAAACCCTGAAGGTTGAGGACCTGACGGAGTGCACCAGCATCACCATCTTCACAAATGCCTTAGCAACCAGAGATTTACCTACAGAGATCTTTAGAGGAACCCGGGGACCAGTTATGCCGAGGTGTTGGCCCGAGCGCAGAAGTATGATGTGATCGAAGAAGAAATCGCCCAACAAGACAGGGAGCCGGTAACCACGACCCGCAAAATGGCGGATCGACTGGGCCCAGGGTCGGGGGAACACCCCTCATCCAAAAAGAAGAAGACGAGCGGCGGATACACCTCGTCGACACGAAAATGCCCTCACCAACAATACATGGTGGGAGGAGGCTCCCGAATACACCCCTTAGTGCTCTCGGTGTCCCAAATCTTCGAACGGATCAAGGACCAAGGGATCCTCACTCGACCCAGGGATAAGGGGACCCCGATACGAATCTGCCC